TCGGCCTTACATCCATGTTTACAGCAAAAAAAATTTAAAAAAATCTCATCACATCTCTTCTCTCTGTCTCGCAGGCTACGGGATCGACGCGTCCGGCACCGTCGCCGAGCTTCGCGCGCGGCTGCGTGCCGAGCGGAAAAGGCGGCAGAGGGAAGAGCGCGATGCTACAGCGGCTTCCGAGAGTTGAAAATTTAAAATGTTGGACGCCGAACATGAAGTTTTGAAATTGATGCCATACCATAACCTTCCGGCGTAGCCGGCCGGCCGGGGTGATCCGAGCGCGGTGCGTATACCAACAGGCAAATGCATGCATGCATATCATCATAATTGTTATAAATAAAATGTTATCAAGTGCATCACTGCTATCATATTTAAATTGTCATCTAAATTCTAATTTGTGGATTAGGTATTTAAATTTCTTCTATAGCTAGATTATTATGTAATAATTACTATGGGCCCACCCGTCGAATATCACATACGCTCCCATCATGCATTTGAAGGCCATTTCCTTGTACTTCCTGTTATAACCAGGTGTCGGACCGTGCGTAGTAGTAGTTGCTACCGAAGTTGTTCCCACTCAATTCTGCGCCTAGCGGAATATCGTCGTTGTCAAGGTTTGGTAACTAACGAGCTTACAATTGAATCCTACCCGGCATCGTTGATAATTATTTCTGGCTTCAGAGTTAAGTCCAGACCTAGCCCGTGGAGTTAGAAAGTTCAGACCTGGCTGCTGAAAGTGAATATTAAATAATATTAATAGCTAATAGTTAGATTTAGACGACCGCGACAGGGGCGAGGTCATTCAGCAGCTGCACGCTATTGCGGTGGCGGCGGATGCGGGTGGGGTCCCACGCCGCCAGCAAATTTGATGCTGCCACCTTCACTGCCACCTGAGCGGTAGCTACGTTGCCATCTACCGCGGCCACGCTGACAGGGGGGGGATTGGAAGACTTCATCCGCCTGCAGCGATAGGCGATAGCGCCAGCGAGTAAGCACAGCGCGAGCAAACCGCCGACGATCGCACCTGTCATGGTCCCGACGGGACTGCTCACCATGTTTGCCTGCGCGCCGGGGCCAATGAAGGCGTCGGGAGTGGCCGGGGCGGTGGAGGGCGAGGTCGAGCCGGAGGCTGAAGAGACCGGGGCCGACTCGGGGTTAGTCTGAAGCGAAACTCTGGGCGGCGGGCTGGGCGGCGGGCT